AGTTAGGCCCTGAATAAAAGCCCCTCCTTCTCCAGAAGGTTGTTATCTGTCTTTTATCAAACTGTCACCCTGTCATTCCTTAATTTCATCCCAGGAAGTGTTTTCAAAGCTTTCCTATAAACAAATGCAGTGTTCACCTGAAGAAGAAATGACACTGAATTTTTCCCATCTCTTACCAGACTTGGAAAAGGGATCATCTGAATTGGTAGAGTTGGAATGGGTCTTCTGGGAAGCAAAATGAGTATCATATAGCCTTTTCTTTCCCATAAATGGATGAAGGCAGGACAAGTTCCCAGTTGTTCATTACATGCCCAGTGGTTCAGCAGCCATTCCTTCCATCAATGCCAAAGCCTTTCCTTACCTCTTCCAGAAACTCACTGAGAAGTGTCACTGACAATGACTTTATGGTCCTTTGTCCATGAGTAGGCACTTCAAAGCAGAAATTGGTCAGGGAAAAGGAAGAATGAAGAAAGTTTTGAGACTGTATCATAAACACAGAAAGTGATCTGTGTCAAGATAGGCTCTTCCAGAGTCCAAGTGAAACCATGAAATACTTTGAGGTACCAATGGATAAATTGGAAAAATCAAAGAGTTGTGGTAAAATGTTTAAAGTTTCCGAGGCTAAGCTTGGTTCACACTGACTCATCTTTCAGATCTCAGCTGAAAGATCACTTACCTAAGAATTTCCTGACATACTCCAAATCTGTCAGATCCTCATATCATTCACTCTCATAATTCTTGGATTTGTTTTCTTTGTGCCACTTGTGAAGACAATGAGTTAATTATATGATTCACTAACACATAATTCCTCTCTAAATATTCATCCCAGGAAAGAAGAGACCTTTTCCATCTTATGTACTGTTCTATTTTGAGTGCCAAACATGTGGTAGGCATAGATTCGGTTTTGTTAAATGAAAGAGCTATAAAATTATTGCAATTAAAAAAAAGCCTTTGTAATATTACATCCATGTACAATGTCCTTTTAAGCAGTGTTTTCCAAACTTTTGAAAACTACTACTCAGTAAAAGAACACATTGTTCATTCTGACCTGGTTATACATGTCAAATTAAACCAAAAAAATGTTGCTCTAAACACTACTGAAAATTAACACACAAAATTCATTATACAATTATTCAATTAATTTGGTTTAAATTTTCAAAAGTGCTCCTCATGACTCTTTAAATTGATTCCATTACCTACTTATGAATTATAACCTATAGTTTGAAAAATCCTACCCTAAGGCACTTCATAATCATAGACATAATATAATAGTAAATATATTTAAACTTTGCTTTTGTTCATCTATGTATCTCATGGAATTTAGATAAAACATTCTTTATAGATACAGAACAAATATTTCTTGAAGGCTCCAAAACACCTAAAATTAACATTTGTTTGACAATGTCCCACCATAGGAACTTACAAGCAGAGGCCACTGTGGGAAAGATGGCCCAATATGTCAAAGTTCACTTTGTCCCGAGAGAATAATTCACTTGCAAGAAGTGTAATTGTCTGACATTCTGACTGTACGTTTATAATTAGATGTGAATTTCTTGCCCAGTTTTACTTTACATCAGACTAACATATGCTCTACTACAGATGGAACTCTCAGGTTATTTAGCATCAGGGCCCTAGGGTCTTGTGATTCCAAATTAAACTTGGGTGTGCATAGAAACCATACAGATTAGGCTGTGATCACATGTTCAGCTCTGCCAAAAAAAAAAATCAGGCAACAAGTCTAGAATGCACTGAGTGTTGCTTCCTCTTGTTGGGGAAGTTTTTATTGGGCTTGGAAATTGAGAAGTTTTAAAAGTAAACACTGAACTCTAATTGCCAGAACCAGATGCATGTATTTTCTTGGCCACTAGACAGGCTGCGGAAGTGAGACATGCTGGTTTCATGCTCATTTGTGTCAGGATAGTATGGGTAAACTCAGGGAACTGACAAGAATTTTTGTGGGCTCAATATCTGGAGAATATTTTTACATGTGAATAACTGAAGTTGTATTCTTCTGTGGGTTAAGAAAGTTCCGTGTTCCTACTCTCTTTATCCAGTAACATAAAGGTCACCTAATACCTGTATAATACCTGTCTGTCTGGAAGTAATCCCAAGCCTGACCTTATTTAAAAGAGCCCATGCTTTCATAACTTCACAGAGACAAGGGCTCAGTTCACAAGGTGACAGGACACCTCTGTTCTATAGTGTACTGGTTTCCTACTCCTTTTCCCAAAGCCATCATATCTTAAATTTGTAAGAGTAAATTTGTTTAAAAAAAGAAAATCTTGACTATGAACACATCAAGCTTATCTCATATATGCAAGTCTGGTTTGACCTTCAAAAATCAATTAGTGTACTCCATCACAACAACAAGCTAAAGAAGAAAAATTACATAATTATATCAATAAATGCAGAAAAAAATTAACAAGGTCCAGTGCCCCATTTGTAATAAAAAATCTCCATAAGCCAGGAGCAGATGAAACCTCACCCCCTCTTTACAAAAAATACCGAAAGAAAACCTTCAACTAACATCATAGCTACTGATGAGAAGAAACTAAAAGCTTTTTCACTAAGATCAGGAACAATGCATAGGTGTCTTCTCTCAGCGCTACTTTTAAACATTGTACCGGATGTTCTAGTTAATGCAAAGGACAAAAAAAGGGAATTAAAAGTGTACTACCTAAAAAGGAAGAAATAAAACTGTGTGTTCACAGAAGATATGATTCATTATGTAGAAAATCCTCAAAAGTCAAGAAAAAACTCCTGAAATTAATAAATGATTATATTAAACCTCCAGGATATGAAGTAAATATGCATATATCAGTTGTTTTCCTATATGCTGGAAAATAACAAATATGATTTGAAATTAAAACACAGTATCATTTATATGCATATACAAAAAATACTTTGGTATAAACTTCAAAAATATACAAGATCTATATGAATAAGACTAAAACTTTGATGAATGATATACAATAAGTAAATAAATATTCTATGTTCATAAATAGAAATACTCAATATTGTCAAGATATCAGCTCTTCCCCTCTTAATCTAGAGAGTCAATGCAATTTTAATGACAATCACACCATGTTAATTTGTGATTATTAAAACTGATTCCAGAGTTTACATGAAGAGGCAAAAGATCCCAAATAGTCAATATTATATTATAATATAATATTATATTGGTAGAAAAGAACAAAGCTGAATGACTGACTTTAAGACATACTACAAAGCCACTTTAATCAAAACAGTATGGACTTGGTAGAAAAAAGACAAATAGATCAATGAAATAGAATAAAAAGTCCAAAAATAAACTTACATAAATATAGTCAACTTATCATCAACAAAAGAACCAAAAAAAAAAAAAAAGCCAATGCAATGGAGAAAAGACATTGTTTTCAGTAAAGGATGCTGGGACAACTAGAAATCCTCATGCAGAAGAAAAATTCAAACAGACATTATATACTTTATAAACATTAGCTCCCAATGGATAGATCACAGACCTAAATATAAAATAAAAGCTAAAAAACTCTTAGAAGACACATAGAAGAAAATATAGATGACATCGGCTTAGCAATATCTTATTAGATGCAATATCAAAGACATGACCCATTAAAAAATAATGACATGATTATACAGGAATTCTTTAAAATTAAAACTTTTTGCTCTACCAAAAGAAAATCAAAATAAGAAAAAGGCAAGCCACAGAAGGGAAGACAATATTAACAAAAGGCACATCTGATGAAGAGCTGTTAACCAAAATACACAAAGACCTCTCAAAACTCAACATGAGAAGGGTAACAACCAAAGACCTTACCGGACACCTTATCAAAGAAGGTATAAAACTGAGAGATGTGAGCTTATGAAAACAGGTTCCACATCCCATGTCATCAGCAAATGCACATTGAAATAGTAATCAGATATCACTACATATTGATTAGAATTGATGAAATCAAGAACACTGACCACGCTAAATATTGGTAAGAGTGTAGATCAAAAGGAACTCTCACAGTCAATTTGAAAAATGGCATGATGGATTGTTACAAAACTAATCATAGTCTTACCATACACTTCAGAAAGCACAGTCTTTGATATTTGCCCAAAGGAGTTTAAAACATGTGTCCAGACAAAAACCCACACACAGATGTTTATAACAGCTTTATTCACAACTGCCCAAACTTGAAAACAAGCAAGATGTCCTTCAGTAGGTGAATAGATAAACAATGGTACATCCAGACAATAGAATATTATTTATTACTGAAAGAAATAACTATCAAACCAAGAGGAAACTTAAATGGTCATTACTAAGGAAAGCAGTCAATCTGCAAATGCTACACATTCTGTATGAATCCAACTACATGGCATTCTGGAAAGGTCAAAACTACGAAATAGTAAGAAAACAAAATCAGAGGTTACTAGGGCTTTGGAGCAGGGAGAGATGATTTTAGGGCATCAAAACTGTTCTATGTAATACTACAATTGTAGATACATGTTGTTATTTGTCCAAGTACATAGAATGTTCAACAACACCAAGAATAAGCTCTAATGTAAACTATGGACCTGAAGAGACAATGACAAGTTAACCAGTTGTAACAATATCCCACTCTAGGGGGGAAGAATTGATCTTGGTGCAGGTGATGCATACATGGGGGCAGAGGCTGTGTGGCACATTTCATTGTTTCCTCTCAACTTTGTTGTGAAGCTAAAACTGCTCTAAGATGTATTGTTAAAAATTTAAATCTTGCAAGAAAACTTCATATAGCAAAATTTGGCAATCATAAGTACAAGTTAATATTTGACAAAGTGAACATACTCGTGTAACAGCACTCATAACAAGACTCAGAACATTTCTAGTTATGCCAGATATTCAATTCATATCTTCTTCCAATCATTATCTCTTCCCCAAGGGTAACTATTATTTCACCATCTAATATAATAGTTGACATTTGCCCGTTTTTGAGTTTCATACAAACATCTATCAAATAGACTTTTTAAATACCTACCTTCTTTCTCCTTCTTTCTTTCACTTTATATCTAATATCGTCATCCATGTAGTTGACTGTCATGGGAGTTTCTTCATTTTTAAAGTTGCACAGCACTGCATTGTATGAACATAGTACAATTATTATACACATTCTTCAGATGATAAACATTCTGATTGTTTCTAGTTTAGAGCAAGTATAAATAATTGAGCAATCTATGAATATTCTTACAGAGTTCTTCTAAATCTATGCCATGTATTTCTATTGCTGTGCCTAGAAATGTGGGAATGTAAGATGTGAAGATGGTCAATTTAAGTTCAGGTCTCTAATGTTGCTCCAAAGTGGATTACATTTCCCTAGCAGGGTACTCAAGGTCCAATTGCTCCATGCTTTCATACTATCAGTCCTTTTCATTTTAGCTGCTTTGGTGGATATTTTTAACATGAAGAGGGTGTACTTTGGAATTAGATGTGATATTTATTCCTGTTGTGTTGAGTTCTATCGGTTTATATGTCACATTTCTTCTCTGGTTCTTTCCTCATTTGCAGATTGCACTAAAAACAGTTACCTACTAGGAGACCTGTGAGTGATAAATGCAATGATATATTTGAAATACAGTGGTTTTGTTCCATGATTCTGGGGAAGATGTCCGCATTTGTTTTTCTTGAGGGGGAAGATGGCTGTGGTTGTGTTCATCACCTGAAGCGGAATTCATCAATGGATCCAAAATTTGCCGAACACTTCTGTTTGCCAACCAAGTTGTTTGCAAACAGAAGCATTTGTAAACCAAGGTATTACTGCAATGACTGCTATTTCTTAAGCATCTATCACATACTAATAAGTATGTTAAGTATTTACCTATATTGAGTTGCATACACATTATACTTATGAATAACAACAGTAATAATAGCTATATTGTCCCATATCAAACTTGCAAACATCTAACATTCAGTTGAACAGGGACTATGCTATGCTTAGTCTTGCCATATTCCCAGAAGATTAGGAATACTGGAATTACTATATTTTCTAAGACTGGGGAGGTACAGTCCAGTCCTCTATAGCCATTCTAAAAAAGCACATCCTAATATCATTGAAACACATATAATTTGGTTATTTTTGTCTGCTATTTTGAGGCTCCCAGTCCCCACAGCCTATGAAAGTGTCATGAAAGAAATGGCTGGGACATCAAGGAACAAGCAGGTGAAGACACATACCTTTATTTTTCACCAAATCAAGAACAAGCAATGACTGTTTTGGGCCACCAATCATGCTTTCCAAACACTGTTGTTATAGTGTCTATGTATGAATGCAGTTATTTGTCAAAACTTCACCGCATGTTCTTCTGCAAAGAGGTGTCATGTTGTATTAAGAATCAAAAAGTAAATCTGCTTATAGTCTGTCATTCTGTTCAATTTATATAAGTGAAAGCCCCCCTCAGTTTTAGAAGAATTAGTTCATGATTTTTAGAAGACATGGAAAAAAACCTCCATGTTGGTAGATTTCTTTCAATAACTGGTAAATATACAAGTTCTCCAAAATCCAGAGCTTTATCTCTACTACAGCAAAGTGAACATTTAAGCAGAAAATGAAACATCAGAGAGGCTGAGACTGTGAGTTGAAAATATACCACTCACTTTCCATTATTCTTGTATTGCTGGGGAGGGTAGGCGAGGTGATTTTTGTGAGCTTTCTTGCTGGTTAACAGGGACCCACTCCCACTTGGGTTCACAACCATAAGCCTCTTGGCTCTTACTGAATCATGTACTCACTTGTCTTCAAGTTTAGCAAATAATTGTATTATTCCCCCAATACAAGGCTATTTAGAAACCATGAAGACTGACTCTTAAGCTAATAAACTTAAAACACATTTTTTATAACATAGTTTCTTTAATTTTTAAAGGCTTGTATAATTGAAGGGAATTTAAATCCATGTGTTTTTTATTCACTTACACTGACATCATCAAAGTAGTGTTTTAAACAGCTGGTTGAGCCTTTTTTAATAAAGTTTTCTTATGACATGTTTCTTTTTGAAAACAACTTTTTCTTTGGCCACAGGAAAATGAAGTTAAATGCCAGAGGATTTGGATGTGGATCAAAATTTCAGACCTGCAAATTTAGAGGTTGAAATTTTTGAAAACTGTCTCCTGACTTCCCATTAAAATTAGCTACAAAGAAGGAAAATGTACCATTTGAAGGAAGTTTGTGGTGTCAGATGACTAAAGAAATGTCTTTATTTGCTGCTTAATTTTGTGCCAAATCTGAAACAAATCAATGTTCAATGTGTATTGGATTATTACAGAAATATGATCTACTGCCAAGTAGTTAACTTTTCCACCATCTCTGGTTATCATGAGAAAACCACAATTCCGTACTCTCCAGAGGTTAGAAACTGGGGCTGTCTAAGATTTGTGAGATGTGATTGTTTTAACAGAATTATTTTGGAGAAAGTTTCCTTGCTAAACATTCTGGAGCCCAGTGTATGCCTATATGTATACATGTGTACATATAGTATATGTATTTATATAATATCTATCTATCTATCTATATCCAAGGATTTTTCTTTTGCATTACAAATATTCTCCTCTAAAGGTATACTTAATGATTTAGCAAGTGAAATTATAATCTACACACAAAACATGTAAACAATTTCAGCCTTTAAATAGATCCACATGCTGTATGTAGTTGAAACAAAACTCTTAAAGCTTTTTAGTATTAACAATCAAGACTGTTTTTCTCTTTGTCAAAATGTATATAGCTAAGCACTAATCAGAGAGATGTATGGCTGAGAGAAGTTGAATTTTATGGGAATCTGTGAAGCAAACAGGCATTCCAGTCCCCTGTAGCCCTCCAGCAGAACTGCAGAAATGAATGGTCTATTTGAGAAACAAATTTTTCTGTCATCAAAGAGAAAAAAAAATTCCACAAAGGATAATTCCTCTGAAATAAGAAAATGAAAAGAGAAAGGAAGAGATAAGAAAAGGGGACAAGTTTTCTGATTTTAGTTTGCAATTGAGATTTTAAAAAGGGAAAGCTAAGTATGTGAAAAGAATATTTATGAGTTTATAAAAATCTTTCCTTAAGAAACTTAAGCAAAATGTCTATAGCAAAATCAAGGTTTACAAAAGAAATGTTGCCTTACATATATATCACTCTTCTCTATGCTTTATGATAGATAATTAACTTTTAATACCGGTTAAGGAGGCTACATTGGAGACCATTATCTCAAATGGGTAGATATCGAAAGTTTAGATATCAAGGTATGATAAAATGAAAGAAGTTTCTTATGATTCTAGAATTATGGAATTTTTAATAATTCATGGCAGTGTGCATTTAAATATGAATATTCACTGTTCATTGAATAACTAGGTAAAGATTGGAGAGGAAGTATAGAAATAATGGAGGAAAAAATCTAAAGGAGATATATTATTGAAGATCAAAAAGAAGTTAAAGAGTTGCCAGTGACAAATAGGATTTGATTTAAAAACATTTGGTTTTTATCTTTTAAAGAACTCTTTGATTGCATAACATGAAGTACATCTCTATTTGTATTATTAAGCAATAGAAGCTTTCAGAAGTGTTTCATATATTGACTTTTCAGCATAATCCAGAGAATGATATTTAATATTGGCAGCAAAATTGCTAGATGCTAAAACTAAGCTATGTGACCTTGGCAAGTTAACAAGCTTCCTTTACTGCAGTTTCTTCATTTATAAGATAATGGCAATGATATATAGACATACTGTACAAGAATGAATGTACTGAAATACATGAAAGCATTCTGAATTCCTTCTGACTTAAAATATATCACTGTATTCAATTATAGTTACACATAGAAGTTGCCTTCTTTCAATCCCTCCCTGTCTCCCTCTTCTTTAAAATCCTCCTCTCCCTCTTCTCCCTTTCCACACCCTTCTTCCTCCCTATCTCCCTTTCTCTTTTCCATTCTCCCTCCCAAATATATTCTCACTTTATAGAATCCTAGATTATCAGAACTGGAAAATGCCACAGAGATTATGAATTCTATTAAAGGAAAAAAATAGAGTTACAAATAAATGAAATGATTTATCCAAGCCCACGCTAGTAATGGGGTTTGTAACTCCCAATCCCCAGCCCACTTCCAGCAAAGTGATTAAGATCACAAAATCTGGTGACATATTGAGGTTTGAACTCTACCAATGTTTTGTATCTCTATAATATGGTTAAAAACAATATCTAACTCCTGGCATTGCTGTGAGGCATTAAGTACAGAGGAGAAGGCCTGGAACGTATTAGCACTGAGTGAACAGCATGTATTATTATCATTGTCTCAGTGTGCTTCACGATTCCTCTTGAGATGGATTGGGCTGTAGCCACCTTCATTTGTCAGAGACAGAGCTAGGAGTTAGGAATTGCCTCTTCAATAGCCCTGGTAGATCTACTTGAGAAAATAGTAACTCACTTCAGTGCTAGCAACACAACAAATGAGATAGGTATTAAGATGGTACTACTCTTCATTGCAAGTGAGGAAACTGAGGCAAAGTAACTTGTTCAAGGGACACAACTAAGAAGTGGCTCTAGAAGGCTAGAGACCAGTGCCAAATCTCCAATGGAATCCCACATCCAAGTCCCCACAGATGCTTGTCTAAGCCCAACCTGCTTGGGGCACTCTTCCTGCTGAGAAAGCTTCAACTTAACATTAAAATAGTTGCTTTCCAGAGGGAAAAATCTGCTCAGTTACCCCAACATTCTAGGAAGCTGTACACATCCCTTATTTCTAGAAGCATTAGGTTCATGAGCACATTGGTGTTAAAAAGCTCATTTGGAAACAGAGACCAATGTTTAATTATTGCTTGATTTGGGATTAGAGCCTTTCATTTTTCAAACATCTTAAGAGCAGAGAATGAAAATTGTTACCTAAGAAACTATTGAAATTCTCTTAACTCTTCTGGGTATGTATTATGTATTCTGTGAGTTTTCTGCCAAGGATATAAGTCAGAAACTCTCCCGCTGGTTTTGATTACAGCTGCAAAGTCACAGATTTGAACAGCTCTAGACAATCATTCTTCTGAACCTACACGTAAATATAAAACATTTTCTTTATCCTTATCACATAAACCTTCAATGAGGTTTGCTTCCATCTAAATTTCAGTTTTCTGCCAAATTCTCCCATTATCATT